GATTTTTACCGGGCGAACTGACCACAAATCTAAAATCATCGCTTGGTAGATCTAAAACTCCGTTTATAGGTACTCGTCAACATTATGAAAATCAGAGGGTAGATCGTTAGATTAATAGGTGGAAGTTGAAGGGCTAGGAAGTAGGAACTTGTTGCCCTACGAGTAGTGACACGCTTAACTATTTGTGCATAGAAGATTTGGATAAAATCTTGATGGGTCAGATTTTTTTTAATCATCAAATCCAATACTTATATTAAACCATTAGGGAACAGATCGTTACAACAAATTCAAAAATATCAATCCTGACAAAAACTATCCCTAACCAACTATAACAATCAACCCTACGGCTTTATTCTGAGACGATCATCCCTGAAAAAGCAATACGAATCGCTAACCATCAAACGGGTGTGACACATCAATCACTGGCCATATAGATCCTTCTAATGACATAATATCTAATAGAATGACAATCATTATTGTAAACCTAAAACTAAAGTCTTTAACAAAAAACGAAACACCGTAAACAAACATAACACAAAAATAAGACCATAAAAAATAGAATAACTGAAAAAATACTCCAAACAGTCATCTTCCAAACTCTGACATCTCGATCAATCCAAGGAGGAGGTTCAGGAGGGGGACGGACCACCGATCTGTAATCTCCCTTGCTCAGCCCTTTGTCGCTCCCCGTCTGTTCATCACCCGTGCCGAGGGTCGGAACCAAATTTGTCAACCCCTAATCCATGGGTAGATTGCCAATACCCCCGCCTCTTGCTTGCTGCATCCCCTTGATGTACGATAGATCTGGATTATCACAAAAAGAATGACCGAAATTGGCCCCACTCCTCGGCGCAAACCGATAGCGGATGAACGACTCTAGCGGAAGCACCTGGCGGCAAACCCTAGAGAGAGAAAAATCGTTTCCGAATCCAACACAAACACCAAAATAGATCCAACCGAGGATGAGAGTCCACTTGTGCTGCCCAAAAGCGCTGAGCGCGCCGCCGATGATGAAGAGGACATAGGCCATGCAGATGGTGGGCGGCGCCCAAGAGAAAAACCTCCAGCAACTATAAACATGCACAACTGTTTGCCCTTTTTGCTTATGAACAAGGCATGGTCATTGTATGCTTGAATTCTCGTTTCCTTTTGTTACTTTGTATTGGCATCCACCATTTCAATCTTTTCACTTTTAGGTGGTTGATTGCTGATGCTGTTTTAACATGTTTTTCCCCATTTTTCGATTTGTTTTCGAGTATTGGGCACGAATATCGCGCAATGCGCGTTACCGCGCTAGTATAATTATATATGAATATACACATGGACATAAAAGCTAATCCTATAAAGATGGGTTTGCATTCAACGGTCAATTGAATAACCCCTCAATTTATGTCCAACAAATAAATGTCTCTTCACTTGATATATTTTGTCAAACTTATCTGTTTGAAATAATATTTCAAGTCTTACATGATACTTGAACAATAAAGTTTCTTATCATGTAATATTTATTAATAAACTTATAAGAGATTATTTATTTGTAACATGGAAATAAAATTCACTTCGGTCATACATCACTTTACAACATTACAACTATGGATTCTATTCATGAAATAAATCCAAAATATGTAAGTTGTTCTTTGATATATATACAAACCATCTTTATTTTATTAGTTACACAATTTATATTTTATGACTAAAAAATGAGACCCTTCATAGTAACATCCATGTCATCATATTTCCAACAAGAGACTACTATGGGAACTGGGACTAGCTCCACTAATGAAGGGAACTCTGTTAGCTCAGAGGAGATATCAGGAGAACAAAAACGCAGAAGGATCTGGGAGGAGAACGAACAGGAGGATCCAAATGGAGAGAGCATGACGCTTGACAAGCCAAAAAATGGAGAGGATGCGGGTCTCGATCAGCAGACTCGTCGGGGTGTCTAATGATGCTTGACAGGCCCATTGCTTGGGTGGTGGCGGCGCACTTCGGGATGGAGAAGGATATTTCTATTACTGTTTTAATTGTTGTTTTCTTTAATCAGAATGTTTACTTTTATGTTGTTTTGATTTATTGATGTAAGACTCTTGCGGTCTTGCATTAGGATTGTGTAATGGAAGGTCTAATTCAACCGTCTTTGACTCATGTAAGTCAATTTTAGAATCAACGAGTTATATTGCTTTTTTGAAGGTGATTAACTCTGAGCCTGGTTCGAGGACCGATGATTGTTTGTGGTCCTTATATCATTTCAAGTTCTTTCTGAATGCTAATGCTGTGATATCAATGTAAGTCCCCTCTTCCAAAAAAAACTTTTCAAATGGTGTCAATTGTATTTTACAAACAAATAATTAACTATACAAATAGTTAGACAACAAATTAATGAAATATGGAAACCAAAGTTACAAATGACTTGGATTGTTTTCGGTCCGAAACCAGACCGACCAGACCAGATCAAACTAGACCAAATTAGACTTGAATAGTTATAAAATATATAGAGATCACACATTATCAGATCAAAACCAAACTAGACCAATTCAAACCAGACTAGACCAAACCAGCAATTTTGAATAAGTAAAAACATTCAAAGTTAAATCTATCGGTATACGTATTTTGTCCATAAAGGGTCAATTGAGTACACCAACTTGTATGAGATGGAGTAAATAGTATACTGTATTGCATTTGATCTTTTTAAGTACACAAATTTGGAGTTTTAGTGTTAATTGAGTACACTCGTTAGATTAACACGTTAATACTGCTGAGTTGGCTAACATAATGTTGAGTAAGAAGGGTTAATGGACAGGGTCATGACCCCGACCTTCAAGAAGTTGACAGAAAAGGGAAAATCGACCTTCAGAGGTCGACTTGCAGGGAGGAGCATCGGCCAGCAGGGGTGGATCGATCAAGGAGAAGTCGGCCTGAGGGGGACTGACGTCGACCAAGGGGAAGTCGATCAAGTGGCTGGGATCTGACGTCGATCAAGTGGCTGGGGACTGACATAGACCTTCAAGAAGTCGACCTATTAGCATTCTGTTAGTCAATTCAGCCGTATTAAAATGTTAGTCCAACAGATGTACTCAATTAACTCCGAATTTGTATACTTAAAAAGATCAAATGGAATATAGTGTACTACTCCTTACTCCATACCTGTTAAAAGAAAGGCTCGAAAAGTTGGGCGCGCCCGATAGGGTGAGTGGTGCGAATAACTTGTGAGTTTTTGACTTGTTGAGAGCTATGCATATAATTCAGAAACCGCTACACCGCCGCCATTTTTTGTCTCGCCTGACAACCTCATTGGTTGCGTGCAAACACATTTCTTGCTCCTCTGATTCATCTTCAGACACCAGTGATCTGTGCTCCCAAAAATTGGATTCCCAGTTGAGATCACATCTATGCGCAAAGCATTGCCCTAGTTCATCCGCTTTAGTTGAGGCTGTGCGCCTCTTTGAGCATGCAGTTTTTGATTTGAGACAATGTCCCCATGCGTCTACATGCAATTTTCTTGTTGAAACTCTGGTAAAGAACAAGGCATATGGACTTGCATTTGATACGTATGGTAAAATCACCCACACCCTTGGTTCTGCTCATTTTAAGCATCGTTTTTTAACTCTAGCCGCCTTGGTTGAGATTTTCGTGCACACTCACATGCCTGATTTGGCCTTTTCTGTGTTTGGGTTGATTTTTAAGCGAGGTTTTGTTATCAATGTGTACCTCTTCAATATGTTGTTGAAAGGCTTCTGTGAAAATGGGATGGTTCACAAGGGGGTGGAACTTTTCTGTGGGAAAATGGTAATCCCCGACACAGTTAGCTATAACACCCTCATTAAAGGGCTTTGCAAGGCGAACAAATTTCAGGAGGCTTTGAACTTGAGGGTTGGTATGGAAAATGCAAACCTTACTCCCAACGTGCTCACATATGCTATATTGATGGATGGGCTTTTCAGGGAAGACAGGGAGGTGGATGAAGCAATGGGATTGCTGGATGAGATGAAGATCAAGGGTTTGGAACCTGATGTGTTTACCTATACCATACTTATAAATGGACTTTGCAGTAAAGGTAATGTGAACAAAGGCAAGGAGGTGTTTGATGAAATGCTAGTGCAAGGGGTATCTCCGAATGTAGTAACATATACGTCTTTGATAAATGGCTTTTGTAACAAGGGCCAGCTGAAAGAAACCATGATGATGTTCAATTCTATGTTGGAGCGTGGAGTCAATCCTGATATTGTCACATTCACCAGCATAGTCAATGGGCTTTGCACAGGCGGAAGGGCAGACAAAGCATTGAAGGTGTTTAATTTGATGCTTGGAAAGGGTTTAGTGCCTGGAAATATAACTTATAATGTTCTGCTGCGTGGACTTTTTGATAAGGGATTATTAACCGATGCTTATAATATCTTACAACTAATGGTAGAGAAGGGTGAGAACCCAGACGTGGTGACCTACAATACCATCGTGCAGGGGTTTTGTTACAATGGGAAGGTAGATCATGCCATGTCACTGTTTAACTCAATGTTGACAGACAAGAAGATTTATACTGAACCAGATGTTAGAACAGTGACTGTTTTGGTTCAAGCACTGTGTCAAGAAAAACGCATTGATGAAGCTGCGGAGGTTCATAATAAGATGGCGGTTGATAACAAAAAACTTGTTGATGTGCAAACTTTCACTGTGCTCGTTGGAGCTTATCTAAAGGAGGAACATAATGTTGAGCAAGCTCTGTGTAAATGGAAGCAGATGACTGAACTTGGTTTTATTCCAGACTCGCTTTCCTACAGTTCCTTAATTGATGGATTTTGCAAGTTAAAAATGCTAAACATTGCAAAGGGAGTTTTTCTAACCCTGAAGAACCGCACGGTGTTTGATTATAACTCAGTCATGGCAGCTTTGTGCAAGGAAAGCAGCTTTGAACAAGCAAGGAGGTTGGTTCAAGAGATGATAAGTGATGGGAATTGTAAACCTGATTCTGTCTCGTACAATATCATAATTGATGCGGCTTTGGAATCAGGAAATTTGCAGCTTGCTGAAGAACTACTAACCCAAATGCTTCAAAGGGGTTTGAATCCTGACGCTTTCACCTTTTCTATACTAATAAGTAGGTTTTCAAACCTAGGACAGATTGAGGTGGCTAAGAAATTGTTTGACAAAATGGTTGCATCTGGCCTCACACCCAGCATCCATGTATATGATTCTTTACTCAAGGGATTTAGTCTTAAAGGCGAACCAGATGAAATTATTCATATGCTTCACCAAATGGCTGCTAAAGGAATTGTTTTAGACTCTAAAATCACTTCAACTATTTTAAGATGTATTTGTGACATGTCTGAAGATCTCGATTTGGCAGAGCTTCTTCCAAAGTTTGCTGAGCAACAATCAAAAGAAATATGTGTTCCATGTGATGCGTTACTGATAAAGATCCAAAAGAGTCTTCACAAGCGTCAGACATGTTCAGCTTGATTCTCAGACTTCAGTCACTTGTTCGCCATATGCTCTGCCGCAACATTGGTGGCGATGTTGGTAAGTTTTATTTCTCTGTGTTTTTTGACAGATTTAGAGTCTATAGACTATGCTGGATCAGTTGGCAAGCCATGTCAACAAATAGAAATGGTAGGATCATTACGGTTCACGATGTAGTTATAACCAATGGACAAAAAAAGTGATGTGAAATGTCCTCGGACTTTAAAGATTCTAATATTGACACATTATTTTTTGTTTTTGTAGAAAGCTAACCCTTGTGCTCAGGAATCTGGTTCTATTTGTCTGCTGTTTGATTCAGGTTCTTCACTTCTCCTGCAATTTTTCAATTCCTGTCTTTGCAAGACTGATGCTCTGCTCTCCTACAAATCTACAATTATTCTGCTTCTTCTTTCACTTTTTTTATTTTGTATAGTAGTCTTGATGCTGCAGTTTTGTGGGTACAGCCTACTATTCTTTGCTCATATGTTTGGACATTTTCAATGTGGATCATTGGGTTAATTTGGATTAACAAAGATGGCCTAGATCAGATCTTCATTAATTCTTCACCATCTACAAGCATATAAACTGCATCAACACACAACCAGGTATTATATATGATTTTTTCCTTTTTTTTGGGTTTCATTCTTGGTACGCAGTTTTAAATTAGGCACTACTTTTTAATCAACATTATGGGTTTCATGTATGGTTTAAGATTTCAGCTTATGGTTTTAGCAGAACATTACGGTTTTCAATAAGGTCACCCAGGTCTGGATTAGATCTTCTTGTGTTTTTTCGATTACTCTAAGGAACTTGGGCTTTCAAATTTTGGAATTTATTCTTGTCCTTTCGATTTAAGTTTTTGTAGATTTTTTGGAGCTGAGTGCATAATGACATAATCGTGTCATCTCTTCCAGCCTTATGATCATCATTAACTTGATTGCAACTGAGTTTTGTAGCCTTATGACCATCAAAATCTGTTTAGAGGATAATTAAAGCATTTCTCTTGCTAAGGTTCTATCTAGCGATCAGGAAAGTAGAATTTATTTATTTTTATATTTAGATTGGAAATCCCCCTTAGGATAGCTATGAGCTTTATGTGATGTATAAGTTTTTAATTAGTCTTACAATGTTATATGGTCCAAGTTACATTTTAGTTTTTAGTTTTAATTAGATTGTCAAGTTTTACGATCCAACTTAACTCTGACTTTTAAATTAGATTGTCAATGTTTTATGTTTGGAGCCTATTCTCTGTTGCTTATATGTAGTATATGTCAATGTTTAAGTTCTAATTAGATCGTTTATGAGCTCAATATGCAAGGTCTGTGTTAAGGATTACTATTATGCAAATTTTCTATTATCTAACATTGAAATGCAATGAGGTTTGTCTTCATTAGGAAATTTTTGTTTATGCTTTTTTGGATTCATCCAACTAAATCTGTCATTTTATTTTGATATTGCAGGGGAACCTTAGACTTATCCAAAGTCTGAGCTATGTCAGCTTGTCCCAATGCAAGCATAAAACTGTGACAAGCCGAACAAGGCCTGACATAAACTGAGTGAGATACAACAACAACAACATTACCCTAGTGCCGCAAAGGCTCCAGCCAACTGTGGGGTAGGGGGTCAGATGTATGCAGTCTTACCCCTGTACTAAAACAGAGAGAATGTTTATGGATGACCCTTGATGAAAATCGCGTAGAAAATTGCATTGTTGATTACTGCTTCATAACAAACAAGCGTAGACATTTAGTGAGTCATTCTACTTTATTCCATCATAATCCCAAGCCAAAAAAATAGCGAGTCTTTGACTCCAGTGGAAATGATGGAAAAACATAAACTGGGTGAGATGTAGTTATTAAAATCTTTGATTAAATCTTTGAACTTGTATGTATTTGACTAGTATGGTCTCCTTTTTAGTAACCAGTATGTGTACCCGTGCGTCGCACGGTAATTTTGTTTGTGTGTGTGGTAATTTTGACTGGATCGGTTGAATTGAATCAATATGGTTAATTGCGGAAAAAATACATTTATAATGTATTTATTAATAAAATAAATAAAAATTAATTGAAAATAGCTTAAATGATCTTAGGATGTTTTCTTTTGGATTGAAATTTGTTGGTCAGGTTTGGTCTGAACTGGTCTGGTAAACGCCTGGTCTCTGTGTATTTATAACTACGGAAGTCTGGTCTGATCTGGTCTGGGACTGAAAACAGTCCAAAAGAAATCTTCCTTATATATAAAGTAACTTAACGTAATTCAGCTGGAAAAGTAATTACAACCTTGTTTATTTTTACTATTGCACAATTCAAAATGCAAGTTTAGCTAGACTGCTTTGTCAGTTATAAATAATTAGTCAACGTAGTTGTATTCTTGTTGTTTAATCAATTAATTGGGTGAATGATTTTGTTTACGATCAAAATTTGTGATATGATTTGCTCTATTTAAGTAAGGATAGATATAGTCTATTTTAAGTTTTTGACACCCTAACATTTGATGAGTTTAAACACCAGTCAACTAGATTTTATAGTTTAATCTGTGAAATATGTATGGATAAAGAGCATGCATGATGCACCCCTAGGCCCCTTTTGATCCAACTCAATGACATTCATTTAACTTTGTTGGTTATTGTTGACACTCTCTTTCAGTATCAATATCAGTTACAATTCCGATCAAGTCTGCAATCCAGCACATGTAACACTTAAACAGCTACCAAATGAATCAAAAAATAACATATATATATATATATATACACGGTGTATTAATTTGTAAAAGGATCACTTACCTACTAAATAAGATTCGTCAAAATTAGGAGTCATGATTTCAGTAATAGGAATAAAGCTAAAAGGGCTGCTCATGTCTAGAAGTCGTATAATCGCCACCAATTCTTACTATTTCAAACCCTTCCATGCTGTTAAACTTTGTTTTCTCCAATTGTCTTTCACACTTATAAATGATTGTCTTTTTCATAGAAGCTTGGATTTTTATCCCTAGAATCACATAAATAATAAACATGAAGAGTCACTCAAAAACATGACTAATAAAAATAATAATATTATTAATAATAACGAAATGAGAAAAACAACCTGAACATGAATAGTAAAGTGAAATAGATTTACCGATTCATCCATAAAAAAACATGTACAAACAAAATGGCGGCTTTGAAGTAGTACTAAAAACTTTTCAAAGCCTTATTATTTGGACTTTGATTTTCAAATCGTTCATTTCAGGAGTTATGGATGATACGGAGTTGTCCAACATTGGAGTGATTAGATCAACATGGAGGAGATAAAAGCAAACAACGATCAAAAGTAATACTCCTTACTTCGTAATAGAATTCAGATAGCCTTAAAATGCTTTTAATGCTTGAACATTATATGATATATAATCCCTTTGTCCCTAAAAATACTTCTAACTTTCTTTTTTGGGCGTTCCAAAATAAACTTTTACTTTCTCTTTTTGGTAAAGAATTTGTGGTTCACATCAATTCTTACACATTTCTCTCTCCTTTGCATAACGTTCCATCACACAATACCTACTATCTTAATCCATGTGTCATTTGTACTACGGAAGTGTTAGGAATTTAATTCCCGCACACGAAAAAACAATAATGAAGAACACACGAAATTTGGTAATCCAGTTCGCCACGAATGACTACGTCTGGGGGCGCTACCAAGTCAGGAATATTATTCCTATTTTCGGATCCACACACAATGATTACAAGGGAGAGAACTTGTATTTATAGAGAAGTAAATCATAACCCCAAGGCAACTAGGATGTGTTTCCTAAAATAAATTAAGAAACGTGTTTCCAAAAATAAATTAAGAAACTGTCTCTAACACCTTACAACAAGTAAATTTAGGGACGGAGGGAGTACTAATGTGTATGATCCCATGTTGTGCCGATATTAGATGGGGCATACGTATAACGGTGTCCTTTGAGTAATTCAATAAATGCTTTTATGATGCTAAATATCAGTTTTATTTTAGGCTTTAAAATGATTTTATTGCAGGAACATTATTATTAATAGAGATATTACCCAAAATGGGACTAAAAAGGTTTGGAAATTCCAAAATAGGACTTTCATGTTTTTGGCAGTACCAGACTTCAAACATGACATTATTTTCCAAATTTGGCAGTAATTAGTCCTATTTTGGGAATAAAAACATGACAGTCCTATTTTGGAATTTTCAAACTTTTTTAGTCCCATTTCGGGAACTTTCCCTTATTAATACGTTGATGCGTGCATATGGGCTTACCGCTAGTGGTGTCCTTTGATGTTCATTTTACTTTCAGGGGGCGTTTTGTAAGACGCAAAACAATTACTTTGCGTGCGAAGTGTAAGGACGTAAAATGTTTACTCTGTTTGGTTTGATTATTTAATGTAAACTGTAGGGCACTTTTTTAAAACATTTCGCACTGGACCACGTAAAGTATTTTACATGGGGGGAGGGTGGTAAAATACTTTGCATGCCTTTTCTGAAGCACTGCAACGACTTTGCGTGCAATTTAAAAAAAAACTACACATCTAGCCAAACAATGTAATCTATTTTACATGCAGAGCCCGTTTGGTAGCACAAAAATCGGCTGTTTTGGCTGTTTCTGCTGAAATTTATGAAGTTTTGGCTGAAGTGGCTGTTTTGGCTGATTCTGCTGATTCTAGAAAAAAATATTTTAAAAATATATTTTATTAACAAAATAAAGAAAAAATTACATGTAAAAATAGCTAAAATGGTCATCTACAGTAACTTCAGCCAATACAGCCAGAAAAGTAACTACAACCTTACTTTTTCTGCTTATTACCCAATTCAGCACGCGAAAGTAAAAATTACGTGTTTGGTGAAAAAGCTGACTGATAAGCCTGATAAGCCGAAAAAAGGGGTCTCCAAACGGGCTCGCAAAATGATTGCTTCCCTATACTTTGCATGCAATCACTTTACGTGCAAAGATTTAACGTGTAAACAACCAAACGAGCCATCGGTTTTTAATTCTCTTAATGATGGAACATTATTATATCTACTATAAAATATAAGCGGCCAAGGGAGTTAGATGGTCGTTTTTCCGTGTGTACAGTGCCCACATTTGACCTCTCCGTTGTTGTCTCCGTCTGATAGCCTGGTGTGCTGCTCTCCTCACATTATTTCTCCCCAGTATAATCTACCTATCTCCTCTCCTCATTTCGCACAGCCCATCCTTGGTCTGTAGAAATCTTCCATTGAAGGAGCCGTTCTCTATGTCCATCTGCAGAAATCTTCCGTCCAAAGAGCCGCTGAGTGTTTGGAATAAACGGCGTACATCTCCATCGCTCACTCCACTGAGTAGCTCGATTTCTTAAATTCCAGTCTAGGTGAAGGCTACCATTCACATACCCGTCGCCCCGATTGGTGAGTTCTTGAACTTCTTGTATTCGCTTCTGAGTTCTTGCCAATTCGAATGAATTGCATTTAGCTACTCATTCACCTTTTAGGATAAAAATACAAGTGGCCCGAAAGAGTTACCTTTCTAGGATGAAACCCAATAATACTTTATAATGTCCTTGCCTAAATTGGTTTAAGTGCTAAGGTGTCAAATACGGAGTATAAAAATACAAACCATGATATTAAATCTTTAACCTTTAGAACTGAATTTATGCGAGTTCTGACTTCTGAGTATAGCTTTATTAAAAGTTTAATTTCCATCATAAATGATGAACAATATACAGGATGAGTAGTACGGTCTAAAAGTTGAATTTGTATCTTGATATTATGCCTAGGCGGTATGACTTAAGTCACTTAACCACTCTTATATGAAAAGATTCAAACTTTTGCTTAGTGATGGTCTACTCTTTCTGACCCTTTTTGTCTCTTGTTCATTGTGAGATAGTGTGGGAGAGGCAAATCAAGAAAGAGCACCAATGAAAATATTCTATAATGGTCAAGTGATGATGTTCAATGATTTTCCAGCTGAGAAGGCTAAGGAAGTTATTGCATTGGCTATGAACACCCAAATCCCCAACATCTTACCTTGTACTGATGCTAATCCTGTTTCTAAGGCTGTTTCTGGTTTTGGAAAGCAGATACCTTATTCTGGTAAGGTCCAATTTATCTTATCTTTTTTTACTTTATGATGTTCTGTTTTAAACGGTGTGATCGAGAGGCACGAGTTTAAGTCTTGGAAGTGTCTCTTGCCAAAATACAAGCGAAGGGTTGCCCCCTATACACCCACCCTTGTGGTGGATCCTCTTCCTGGACCCTCACCTTGCGGGGGATGCCAATGTGCACTGAGCTGCCTTTTTTAGAACAGTTTCTGGTTTCATGTATGAAAAAGATCATTTTGCCAATTTTTTTGGGGGAAGCTTATATGAAGAAATGCTGTTTGTTTTCTGCTGTAGATTTGCCCATTGCTAGGAGGAGTTCCCTTGTCAGGTTCTTGGAGAAGAGAAAGCACAGGCAAGCATTATTTTTCAATTGAAAGTCTCAACATTGAATTGTAGGAAAAAAACAGTGAACTTCACTAAAATTATGTTATACTTCGTATATTATATGATTCCAACCAAATGTTCACTGTCAATGTGAACCTCCTGTGCATATTCCAACCAAAATATGGTCTAATGTGCAGTTGTGGTTTCAAGTGGGGAATTTCTTTATTAAATAACACTTTTGAAAGTGGCATTTCAAATCAACTTTTGAACCAAAATATATGTTGTCTGAGATTACATTATAATAAAAATGAGTTTTTCCTACGTCAAATACAAGCTCAAATGGCGCCTGATAAGGCTTAATCTTGTACATTATAAGGGCTTGTAAACTATTCTACATACACCTCAACTACAATTGTGTTATATTTATGACATTTCAAAAGTTGTGTTTTGAGAATTGATGGTGGAAATATGTGATGGGATAACAGGATTACATCCAAGGCACCATACGAGAAAAGGAACTGTGTGGGGGGAGCTTCTTCAGAGCAAGAAAAAAACAAGGAATGGCTGGGGTTGGCTGCCCAGTTTCCAGTGAAATCTGAGGCTCAGTTATCGTGATTTTTGTTTGATCATTGATGTGTATATGCTCTGAGAGCTTGAATTATATATACTTGAATTGGGGCATTAGAATGGTTTAATGGCACTTTATTAGAAATATTGACTGTTTGTTTGTGTTATGCCATTCTATTATCAATTAATGACCTAAATTATGTTTGTGTTTGCAGCTTTTGGGTGTACTTGCTGATGATTCTGTGGCATTGGTTTTTAGTTTTTTGGGGTTTTGGTACTTGTGAATTGATTTTCCACTGATGGCGTTACCAAATAACTATCCAGTATATTCTTCAGCTGTTCGGGAAACCAACCATCCAATGACCGCTGCAATCTAATTTACCCATACAAGCACATACGGTATTCCCCTGTTTTCCTTGAACTCCTTGTCTACCCTTTGTCCCTCCATTGTTGTTTTCAAATTATTATATTTTAATTTCCTACTTTTACCCATCCTACTATACACCATTGTACAACTAACATACACAATGCCTTTGTGGTTTTCCCTCACATCAAGTGGAATAAGGCTTTAAAAACATCTTAAAACTAAAAACATCTACCCTTTGTAGATTATGAATGGCTTCTTCTGTACTAGCCAACCTGTTTACAATCATGATTAAGAGTCTGCCCCTTCAACTGCCCTGATTGTGAGTTATTAGAAATATCATATAATTCTCATGCATCCACCCTGGTTGCTTTAGAACACATATTACTTACCTGGGAGGGGATTTTGCCTTGAACTTAGCTGGGGCCCCGTCAGGTAGTATCCTGGACGACATGTCCAGGATAAAAAGCTTTTGGGGTTTTGGTACTTGTGTTTGCAACTTTATGTTCGCATTTTTATCCACTTGTATTTGCAGCTTTTGGGTGTACTTGCTGATGATTCTGTGGCATTGGTTTTTAGTTTTTTGGGGTTTTGGTACTTGTGAATTGATTTTCCACTGATGTGCTTTATTCAATTTTATGAGTTTGTTGATGATTCTGTTGTTTTGATTTTCAGTTGTTTGGGTTTTTGGTACTTGTAAACTGGTACATGTAAATTGAATTTCCGTTTATTTCCTTTATTGAATTTAAAAAAAGTACCTTTGTGTTTTTATGTTTTCAATGATCTTTGTTTGTATTACGCGTATTCAAAGTTTGCGTAGGAGGATATACTATAGCTCAATTTCCGTTTGATACACAACTGCCAGTTGAGAATTTCCTGTGTGTCATTGGTGTTTGTATATTGTGGTTTTGTGATTCAGAATCTGCAATTCAATTTGAATTTCCCCCTTTTTTTTGGGTGATAGTGATCCTTCGCGCTTGTTGTGTGTGTTATGGTTTTCAAGGGTTTTGTGCTTTAATATATTCTCTGAATAGACTTATGTGTGGTGAATAACAACAATTGTGCTTCCAATGGAGTGTGACTGAGTGCTATTTCTATGCAGTATTATTGTATTCTTCTTTATTAGTTGTCTACAATTTAGTTGTGCGTAAGGTGTTTGTCAAATAGTCTCAGCCAAAAAATAGTAGATGGAGATTGTATTCCTCTTTATTAGGTCTTCAAAGTGTTTGTCGAATTGTCTCAAAGGAGAAATCATTGATATGAAATAATCTTTGTGTGTGATGATTAATAACATGCAATTAAGGATGTTCTTACATGGACCATTTCCAATTCCAATCCAGACCAGACTTAAGCAGACCAAATTTAAAGTAAAAATTTTATTCTTTAAATTTAAAGTAAGAAGCATATCACAGGAAAGAAATAGAGGCAGTAAAATAGTGTTTCGGCCAAAAAATATGTATGTGCTGATTAATAATATGCAATTAGAGATGTTACACTCCATTTTTTGATGACAGAAGTGGCTGCTGCTGGGGTAGGGTGTTTGTTAAAAACTCCACTCAATCAGGGATTTAATGTTTTTCATTAAAGGTGCTTTGCTAAATAGAATTTGAGGTAGGAAAGGTCCCTCCTCTATCCTTTTCAGGTATTCTCTAGAATTGGAAAACATGAGGGAATCACCTCATTGCCTTGCAACCCTAACTTCTGTTAATATAACAAATAGTGTGACCTATTTATGAATAAACTGAGTAATAGCAAGGAAAACTATCATATCACAGGTACATGCAAAGAAATTTGCTGAAGCAACCTTCTTACTGAAACATAAAAAGATGAAAAAAAACATTCTTTAAGAATCAAAATATGTTTCCAAATAAACTATAAGGGAGAAATAAACGTGATAAACTTCAATTGTTACTCCTCATATGGATTTAAAAGTCCATCTATTTATAGTACTCTTACAAATTCTAGAAACTTAACTGCATTTAATCTAGCAAATCCACTACTATGAGAAAGAAAACAACCAATTACTTTTGTAAAGTTAATTCTCTTTGTCCACAATAAACATATTGTCTTCTACGTTTTTACAGTTCAAATACATCAATAACTAAATATTTATTAGGGATCGTTTCTCTTGAAGCTTCTAACCTAAATAACTCTTAGGCCTTTAAGTTACATGTTTTTCTCACTAAACATGTGGGTTTAATGTCAATGCATTTAAGTATTGTATAGTTTGGTAGTCTTTGAATTTAGTTCATTTTATGCACATAAAGCAAACAGATTTCCAATTATACAAGATTAATACATAATCACATTTCCTTAAGTTAAACAATGATGTTTAGTTGAAAAGATAAAAATATATAACCACAATACAAGCATATAAAGTGTTGTCATTAACTAATTTCAAAAAATTAAGATTTTTTTTGTTTCCAATTCCAACCCAAACCAGACTTAAGTAGATCAGATTTAAAGTAAAAATTTTATTCTCTAAATTTAAACTGAGAAGAATATAATTACGGTTTTTGAATTTTTTTAAAACACTCATAGATAAAATATAGTCAAACATATGCATTGTGACACATTTTTTAGTGTGCTTTGGTTAGAAGTATTAAATTTTTATTGATTATTACAGGAGAATCTTTACGAGACAAGCAGTTTCAGAGGTAGCTTGGGGTAAGTGCTGTATACGTTTTGTTTCATGTGTGTGATTATGTGTCAATGTGAGGTTTTTTTTTTTGGCTTATTATGATTGTTGAGTATATTTAAATATGTTACATAGTTAAGGCTCTCCCAAGTGGAACTTGGAGAATCATCTTCCAAATCTTTTGGGCGTACGCTTCGATACCGTGAATTCCATCCACATAATTTGACTTCGTGTATTCGTAACATTGCAATTAATACCTCAGGTGAAATTTACGTTGTTGTGTCATTTGTTAAAATGTGGTCTTCGTATTGATTTAAGGGTATTAAATTATTTTTTGTTGTCGCTTCGTTACCCCGTCTTCGCTTCATATCGATGACTCTTTCTACGAAATCACACACTGAACCTGATCTTGAGTTCTCTTAAAACCCACATCATCATTGGACTCTGTCATATTTATTTCTTTTCTTTCTATTGATTGTGACAAATCTATTCTTAATATTTATGCATCCTTTTTTTTTATTATACATGTGGAGTAATTATTTATGAAATGTGTGTCCAAGAACCCACTGCAACCGTGAGTCTAATGAAGTCTTTATTTTAGTTCATGCTCTTTCACTCTAATTTAGGAGACACAACGAGTCAATAAACTAATTGAAGGCATTATGTTTTGGACAGGTTACTAAAGTTAGGCGGCAGGAGAAGCTGAAATATCCTCCGCATCCGTTAAACACCATTGAGCTTGAGAAGCGTGCATCAAGATATTGCAGAACGAGTTCTGCACAAACTATGAAGGTTAGTTTTGAAGCTAAGCACTGAGTTATTGCATAGAGCTTCAAAAGGGCTGGATTGATTTTGATACTTACATAATTACGTTTTCACTGGACTACACTCATTGGGATTATGAATGAATCTTGCTGTTACTCTGAATTTTGTTGAGCTACATGGTAATAATTCTAATATGAGGGAATTTAATTGTTATTCTCCCTATTTCTTAGGTGGCTGAAGATCTGTACCAACAAGGTTTTATTAGCTATCCACGCGCCGAGACTGATAAGTTCTCTGTTGATGCCATTGCCAACTTGCCTGTAAGTTGCTATTTCGTCCTCAATCATATACTCATAGTTTGTGTCAGAAGTGCTAACCCTTCAACCAAATGAATAAATGAAGAGAGTTTGAAATAAACTTCTATGTTCAAATTGATTCGGGAGAGTAAATCTGTCATCTCATGAAAAGATGTCTATTCAGTGTATAAACAAAGGCAGAGTTCAGCCATTCTATGTTCAAAAGTGATTAACTTATTACTTCCTCTTTATGTTTTAAACTGCTATTCCCCATAGTTTTTTGTCTTTAATTCCATCGTTGGGCACGATTCACGCGCAACGCGCGCCGCCCGGCTAGTATACTAATATGTGGTGTGCGTGCAGCCAAATGGTTTCTACCAAAAATGTTCTCACATGTCATTTAATCCTCCACAAAATTCTTCCACTTGTCAATATTTCTTAGAAGAACATTGCCACATGTCAATATTCTTGCAAATGGGACTGATAGGGGTTTGTTTTATTATATTATATAGATATAGATATATAGATATTGACGTCTATCATGTGATGTCCTAAATTTCTTACTTTTAATCATGGGAAAATGTCAAATAGGTCCCTGTACTATAATGAAAAAGTCAATTAGTTACTCGTACTATCAAATCATCCAATCAAGCCCTTAAACTATAAAAAGACACTCTCTTTTACCCGGTGAATAACGGGTTGATATGTTAATTTGTACATGTGGAATCCACGTGGCTGGTTTTACGTTTTCCTTTTTTCGTTCTTTATTTCATTTTCTCTCCCACGTTCTTTCTTCTTTTTCCCAAGCTGCCAACCCCATCGTACTTTCTTCTTCTTCCCAAGCCCGCAATATGTTCTGCTATTTTCTTCTCCCAAACCCCCAACCATACTTTCCTTTTTCTTTCTCTCCCTAACTTCTTCCTTCTTTCTAGCTCCACCCCACCCGGAGTGGTGGTTGGTGACCACAGAAACAAATTCCGGCGACTTCATGGCAACAACCCCTGTTTTTCCGGCGAATCCGTTGTAGTCCCAAATCTCTGCTCCAATTCGTCACCGGCCGGAATCAAGTACCACATGTGCAACTACCCGAGTCCATAACACTAAGAGCATCTTTAATGGTACATTG